TTTTTTTTTTTTTTTTGAGACAGAGTCTCACTATGTCGCCCTAGGTAGAATACTATGGCGTCACAGCTCTTAGCAACTTCAAACTCTTAGGCTTAAGCAATTCTCTTGCTTCAGCCTCCCAAATAGCTGGGTCTACAGGCGCCTGCCACAATGCCCGGCTATTTTTCTGTTGCAGTTATCATTGTTGCTTAGCTGGCCAGGGCTGAGTTCTAACCTACCAGCCTCAGTGTTGTGGCTGGCACCATAACTACAGTCCTACAGGCGCTGAGCCTACAGGTGACTATTGTAAGTGCTTTGCATCTATTAAATCATTACTATTCTGTGAAGTAGATACTATGAATGTTACACCCAGGTAACAGAGAATGAACTTGAGGCACAAACAGGTCACATAGCCAATAATTGGTTGGGCTGGTCACCCAAAGCTCTTGGCTACTAATGCTTTGTTACTGCACAATTGGAAATAACATTCACGAAGGGATGGAAAAAAGTTGGAGAAAAGTTAAAACTGAGACGACTTGTAGCGGGTTGGTAGGAGAAAAAGGTGAGTGGGATATTTTAGGGGGATATATGTGCTTTAATCCGGAACGGAAAATAGGATGATTACACGAAAAAAGCAGAAAGTTTATAATAATAATGAGGGACGATTGGTAGAAGAGTTTTAGAGATTAAGTAAATGTGGGAAGAGAACATTACCATTTCAGAGCATAAAATGAACAGAGTGAATGGTAAAGTAGGTGGTTAGAAAACTCCTAAGAGTTTATTCTGCCTGGTGTGGTGGCTCACACCTGTAATCCTAGCAATGTGGGAGGCCGAGGCCAGTGGTTTGCCTGAGCTCATGGGTTCAAGACCATCCTGAACAAGAGCGGGACCGTGTCTCTAAAAAAAATAACCAGGCATTGTGGCGGGTGCCTGTAGTCTCAGCTACTTGAGAGACTGAGGCAAGAGAATCACTTAAGCCCAGGAGTTTGAGGTTGATATGAGCTGAGATGCCACAGTATTCTACCAAGGGTGACAAAATGAGATTCTGTCTCAAAAAAGAAGTTTATTCCCACTGCTTTTGGAAGATCTGAGGGCAGACACACATATCCCTGAGAATGGGGCTTCCCAGCTGCCACTGCTGGCAATTCACAAACCATTTCTTTCTCTTTTCCAGGAAATGTAAAAAAACTGGGCGAGACATACCCCAAAATCTCAAATGCCCAGAATGCAGAGCTGCGGCTACGATGGGGCCAAATCGTCCTGAAGAACAATTACCAAGAGGACTTCTGGAAAGTGAAGGGGTTCCTGCAAAGCCAGGTGGGTGACCCTGCCCCCCTGTCCCCTCATAAGCCCTCTGGGACCACTCCACTACACTTGAAGTAGTGGTGTGGGCAGAACTGCCTCTGAGCTACAGAGAAAGGGCTCAGGTTACCTCCCAGAGGACTCTGCTCATCAGTCTGGTTATTAGTGAGGCTGGTGGAGGCATTGCCCTGGGGAAAGGGGAAGCCCACAGGCTCGGGGAGCTTTCTGCAGCTCAGCTGGTGAGACCTGAGGGGAAAAAGCTGGTCAGAGCTAACTCAAAACTGGGAAAGAGGGTAACGCGTAATGCAGGGGCTGGTCATGGGGAAAACACAGAGGGAAAGGGGCCAAAGGACATGCAGGACGAGCAGAGGGTTAGATGATAGGGCCCTGCTCCGGGGAAAGAAGCCTTGTGACTTGAGAACAGTTGAGACACCAGCCTGATCCTACATGACCCTGTGAGTTGCCCCTTGGGGAAGGGCCCAGGGGCTCTCAGGGTGAACTCTCAGGGTCATCAGATTCCAGAGCAGGGAGGGGGCTGGCTGGACACAAAGCCATGCTCTGAGTCCCTCATCTGTTCGGGCAGGAGCCTCGTGCCTGTTTGGAGGAATTCTGAGCCTGCTGGTGGCTTCTTCAAGCCTCTGGATTGTAGGAACTTATGATGTAGCTGGCTTCCACCTGTGTGAATTTGACTTGGGATTTTCTTTTACTGAACTGCAGTTGGACCTTATATGTCCCTGGGCTTATGTGCCTTTGAGATCTGCTATGAGCAGGGTGGCTTGCCAAAAGCTTGACGTCCTGGCTTGGCGCCTGTAGCTCAGCGGCTAGGGTGCCAGGCTGGGGGGTTCAAACCCAGCCTGGGCCTGCCAAACAACAATGACAACTAAAACCAAAAAAAATAGCTGGGCATTGTGGTGGGTGCCTGTAGTCCCAGCTATTTGGGAGGACTGAGGCAAGAGAATCACTTCAGCCCAAGGATTTGAGGTTGCTGTGAGCTATGACACCATGGCACTCTCTACCAAGGGTGACAAAGTGAGACTCTGTCTCAAAAAAAAAAAAAAGCTTGATATCCTGTAGCGTCAGCCCATCTCATTTGTTGAGGGTAGCTGTCTGTATGTTAGTGTGGATTGGGAAGCATACTGAAACCTATCTCCCTGGGTCTTTGACCCCCTAGAAGATGTCAGAGTTAGAGTACTTCTGGCTGGGAAACTCCTCCTCCCAGCACTGATCCCCACACCGCTTTTAGCCCTTGACTATGACTGCCGTTGGACTGCTGCTTGGGGGCAGGAGGGCTGGTCAGACCCCCTGCATGGGCTGCCTGGGCACACGTGTGTGAGTGTGTGTGTTTCTTGCAGGGGAAACAGAAGTACACTCTTCCGCTGTACCATGCCATGATGAGAGGCAGCGAGGTGGCCCAGACCCTCGCCAAAGAGACCTTTGCCTCCACTGCTTCCCAGCTCCACAGCAATGTTGTCAACTATGTGCGGCAGATCGTGGAGCCCAAGGGCAGTTAGGGGCTCCTTTGTGTGGCCTTTGCCTCTTCAGACTTTGCAGGCTTTCAGAATAATCGTTCCCAAATTCTAGTTTTTCAGCCAACTTCCTAAAGTATCTCCTCAGGATAATCTGTTCTGTGGGCTTGGCATCTCTGACTCTTGGGCCTCTGCTCTGGTGGGAACTTCTCTGGCCCATGGAGTCCTGAGACCAGAGAGAACTTGCCCACAGCTCTCTTCCGTCCTGGCTGCTGACGCTGGAGGGACAGCTACCTTTCCCTCCTCCCAACTTAAGGAGAAGAGGGCTTCCCTACCTTTCTCCCTCCCTCCCTTTGTCCCTTCCTTTCTTTCTTTCTTGTACTATGCAAAGGGCTGGCATTCTGGTTGTTCTGTTCTCAGGTTTAATCCTTATTTTAATAAACATTTGTAAGCAAAAAATAGATAAGTTGGAGTTAATCTATTAAATTTCATCTACCTGGGTTCGCCTGTGTGTGAGTGTTCAGAGAAGGTCACTGGGGGACACTCAAAGGATGACAGTGTTTCCCTGTCCTTAGGGAATGGCCAGGCTGCAGGAGGTGTGTGTCCCACACATGCATATGAGAAAACATATGGCATGGCAGTTGCAGGAAAAATGAACAAAGGAATAGCATTCCAGTTCTCTATGAAGGCAGCTAAATTTTGTATCCGCACCATCATTCCCATTCATCTTTTCCATCCCTAAAATAAATGCATAAATAAATAATGTGTATTTCGGTGTCATTTCTCTACCCTTCTCCCCATCCCTGGGGCTTCACCAGGCCTTACCTGCCTTTGCTCCTGGATAACATTTTTATTTTTGAGTCTCACTATGTCACCCTTGGTAGAGTGCTGTGGTGTCACAGCTCACAGCAACCTCAAACTCTTGGGCTTAAGCCATTCTCTTGCTTCATCCTCCCAAGTAGCTGGAACTATAGGCGCCCGCCACTATGCTCGGCTATTTTTTTTGTTATTGTTTAGCAGGCCCTGGCCAGGTTTGAACCTACCAGCCCTGGTGCATGTGGCTGGCCCCCTTAACCAGCTGTGGGTGCTGAGCCCTTGGAACTATTTTAATGATGTGGTAATCAGTATCTTCAGAACTTGGCACTAAATTCCTGACCTCAGGTGGGGATCTAAGCAATTAGCAACTTTGGTTTGGGAGTGGAATAAGGGGAAATAATTTTTTTTTTTTTTTGAGACAGTCTCACTCTCAGTAGAGTACCACGGTGTCATAGCTCATGCAACCTCAAACTTCTGGGTTTGAGCAATCTTTTGCCTCGCCTCTGGAGTAAGTGGGACTACAGGCGCCCACCACAATGCTGGGCTAGTTTTTTTTCTATTCTTAATAGACACAGGGTCTCACTCTTGCTCAGGCTGGTCACAAACACCTGAGCTCAAGCAATCCACCCACTTGGGCCTCCCAGAGTGCTAGGATTACAGGTGTGAGCCACTGTACCCGAGCGAAATACTTAAATACTTTAAGTTGCCTTCCTTTAAATACAGGGCACCTCTGAACCAGTCTCCTGTTTGTGGCTCTGCCCTGTCTTTGGCTTTATGTTGTCAATATAGGCCTCTTTCCTCCCCTGCACAAGGGTTGGGAAAAAGAACTTGAGTTTAAGATTTATTCTCACTCTCAGCAAGAACAAGGGATGAGTAGTACAGGAGCACAGGCTGGAAGTGCCTCTGGCCATGCCACATGGCACCACAGGAAGGGCACAGCGGGTCACAGGAGAGGGACTGGAAGTCCAGAGTTGTAAGAGCAGATTGCTTCCCTAGCTCTCTCAGGACTGTTCTTGGCAGGCCATCACAGGCAAGGAGGATTTCAGGGCTATCCAGTTGTCACCCATCTCCCCGACTTGGTGTCTAGTTTATCAGCTTTGAGACATTAGCCATCTTTTTTGTTCTGTGCAAAAACCAAGAGCATCAACAAACCGAGTTATAAAGGAGGGTCGCTAGGAGCGAAAGGCTGGCAGCTGTTTCTCTGACAGGCATTCCTGAGCTGTGTAGTTTGCCTCACTTGCCACCGGGGCACTCACCAGTCCTACAGGATGTGCCTGTCCTTTTATATGACATCCTGCCATCCCTGCAAGTTCTGCAGGGAGGTCAGTGGGGTGTTTCACCATCATGAGGTACTGGGAACACCACTTCCCACCCCACTCTCATGACACTGACCGCCATCCTGGCACCTCTGCCCCATCCCATCCCCATCCCTCCAAGGCTCTGACCTCAAATCCAAGCTTTCCCACTTATCTTAAAATGCTAGGCTCTAGGAATTCCTTATCTTAGCTCCATTTCTCCTGGGAAGAAGCCTCATGAAGCCCAGGGAGCTGATATCCTTCTGAGTCTCCACACATCCTCCTCTCCCACTGTCCGGAACCCAGCCAGGGGCTCTTCAGGGCAGGGAGCACGTGAGCAGCCCCGGGCTAGAAGCCGGTTCTCCCGCATTCCAGGGTGAGTGACTGTGCAGAGGGTGTGCCGCCTCGGGCTCCCTGGGGGAGGCCCCCTGAAGGGCTGGGGAAAATCCTACCCAAGCCCCAGGCTCTCCTGCCCCCTGGCCTGGTGGAGGGATCCAGGACCTTCACCCTCTCTCTAGGCACCCAGTAGTTCCTGAGACGAGGAAAATGAGATGCAGATTCTTTGGGAAGGACTTTTTTAGTCCTCAGGCGATAGAGTTAAAGAGTATCTCTGGGGGTGGAGTCACCTTTTTTTTTTTTGAGTAACCGTTTCACCCACCCTGGCTGAAGGAGGTGGGGAGGAGAGAGATCCTTTATTTCAGATGCCTAAAAACCTAGATCTAGAAGATATCTTAGGGAATATTAAATCCAAACAACCTTATTTTTACAGATGGGGACACTGAACTGAGAATGCAAGGGTCTTGCCCAAGATCACAGAGTTGCAGACAGGGTCTACAGGACCAGGCTATTGTGTTTGGGGCTGAGTCCATTGAGAGAACCACAGGCTTGGGGACCCACTGACCGCAATGGAGTGGCAGGCTCTGGTCATGGGGCTGAGTGGGAGGACTCTAAAGCCAGAAGACATCTGGTGCTGTCCAGGGAAGGAGTGGGAATTTCAGTGTACAACATACCTGGATTTAAACCTCCGCCCCATCATTTAACTAACTCTGTGTGGTCTGGGCAAGCCATTTAACCCTCCAAGCTGCAATTTTCAGATCTGTGAAATAGGGAAAACTGTGCATTCTCTTTAGGATTTTGTGTATGTGTGAGGATTAAATGAGAGAATGTATTTCAAAGTGCTTAATAAATAGTAAACATACTATACCTCTTCTTTGAGTGACATGACCCAGGTAGTCTGGCTTCTGACCACTAGAGGGCAGAAGACAGAAACTAGAAAACAGACTAGCCAACCCCAGATTAGGTGGAGGAGGGGCGGGGGGATAAACCTAACCACGTAGGCTTTGGCACCTCTAGCAGCCCTTAGGCAGGAGGGCTCCTTCAGGTGCTGAGGGAAGAACTTCCAATACAGCCCAGTCTTTCCAGAAGTGGCTATAGCAACCCTGATGCTTGGATGGAGTCTGGGCAGGCAATGGGTGCTGAGACTTTGCCAACAAAGTGGGTGCCAGAGAATAGGCCCTAAGGCAGGGACCCTGGGGCCAGGGACTAGGCTAGTGAGCTTATCTAGTAGCTCATAAATATTGCCCAGCATCAAGCCTGGGGAGTCACCCAGGCAGTGCCCTGGGAAAACTCCCTAAACCTCGATATCTTCTCTATTAGTCTCCTTTGTCCTCGGACCTCTGGACATTTGGGGTCTAGTAGCCCTTCTGACCTAGTTAAGCCAAGAGCTCATATTCCCCCACTTGCTCTTCCCCTACCTAGCGTATCCCTAGCCTGGCCCCCGAGGAGGAATTTCCTGGGCCAGAGGGCAGCCCAAAGCACAGATGCCCACCCCAGTGCCATTCCCGCCACCTGCCCAGGCCAGTGCCCTGTGCCCAACCCCAGAGGGCGCGGGATGACAGACTCTGATAATCATTAAACCAGCCGGGCCTGATTTCCCAGCACCTCCTGCTAGGATCCGGGCCAAGTGGCACAGAATATGCAAATCACCTGGGGCCAGGAGCCCAGTCTAAAGGCCAGGAAATCCCCTCCGTCCAATGAGCCACCAGCTCAGGTTACCACCAGGGACAGGCTATAAAAGCCCAGGCTGGAGGAGGAGCTCCTGCATGGCTCTATTTAGGGCGGAGTGGGCGCACACAGTGGCCAGACACCTCCGTGCGCTACCTGGTGACTGCTCATCGTCTGGATTTCTCTCCTACCTGTGGCTTCTTAAGCCCGCCTGCCTGCCACACTCGCACTCCCATTCTGGTAGGACCCCTACCTGTCAGGCCCAGGCCCAGGCCTTGGGAAACTGGGGAAGAGAGTTCTAGTGGATTTGCAGTTCTGAACCTGCCCTCTCTAGTCAAGAATCTCTGAGCAGGAGGGTAGGGCAGTGGGTGTCTTGAAGGTAGGAGAGCAGAGAGACTGTCTCTGGGAGGGACAGTGTGGTCATGACTGCCAGTCTGGCTCAAGGGTCTGTGCAATCTGAGGAGGGAGCCCCAGCAGGAAGGCCTTGTGGGTCCCACCTTGTTTTTGAGATCTAGAAACCCTTCTGGAAGACAGGATGTCCACAAAGTTGTTAACTTTCTTGCCAGTTGAGACTATTCCTGCCCAGGCTTGGGCAGAGCAGAGTAGCCGGGAGTGTCAGGGAAGGACCCTGGCCCCTCACTGGCCCCCTTTCCTCTCCCCAGGTGGCCTCATGGCTGCAACCTGTGAGATCAGCAACGTTTTTAGCAACTACTTCAGTGCTATGTACAGCGCAGAGGACCCCACCCTGGCCTCTGCTCCCCCTGCTCCCGCCTTCGGGGCCGATGATACGGTGCTGACCATCAGCAACCCCCAGATGTCACTGGAGGGTACAGGTGGGTCCTGAGGGGTGGGATGAGCTGCCTTTGGGAGGGGGAGATAGATCCATCCAAGAGCCTGTTAGACAAATGGGGTAACAGGCGGGGAGGAGTGTCTCCAAGCGAATTCCAGGGCAAGGGCTGAGGAGGTGTATGTGCCCAGGTGTTGGGGGTTGTAGATGCTGTGTCAGGCCAAGGGAGGTACCAGGCAGGTACTAACAATGAGTGTGCTGTGAGTGCCATCTCCTGCGACTCCAGGAGGTGGGGGGAACTCAGAGGGCTGGGGTAGGAAACACCAGGTGCCAGAAGTGGGGCAGTGAGAGAGCTACGGGCCACCGACTGAGCCCATGTGGTGCTGTCCTCCCCACAGAGCAGGCCAGCTGGTCCCGGGAGGAGCCCCAGTTCTGGTCCAAGGCGCAGGTTCTGGACTGGATCAGCTACCAAGTGGAGAAGAACAAGTACGACGCCAGCTCTATTGACTTCTCACGGTGTGATATGGATGGCGCCACCCTGTGCAACTGTGCTCTTGAG